ATTGAATTTCCTGGCGCCAAGCGCCTATGTTTCAATCAGCTATATGAAGTCGTGGAAGCTGGACATCCCAACATGATGCCAAAGCGACTAAGCCACGCAAAATCAAAAGCATGTTGTTCTGCCGACGTTTGGCAGCTGCTCATTGGTTGCAGCTGGGCGTGTGTATTTACTGTCCTGCCCTGCCCATATGAACTTCTTGGCTCTGCTTTCCTCGTGTGAACCCTCAGCCGGCCTATGTTGTTCCTTCCCCAAACGGAAAGCCCAAATTCCTCGACGTAAAGCCCGAGAGCCAGCATCTTGCCTGTTGCTCCAGCTGCCGCTTTTCCTCCTCTGCTTGAGATACCTCTGCTGCGATCTTCTCTTGCTGGGCCTGAAGCAGGCACAGCGGACTCGCATGTCGCAGGCCCCAAAAGGACATCTTTATGCAAGGAACTCGAAGGAACACCCTTCCCCCAAACAGTTTGCCGGAATTGGGAATGGCTTTTTGTCGCAATTCGATACACATATTTCATACTATATTGTTGAGATGAATGCGCTCCGGCAACACACTCAAACAGCACGTTGGATGTTGTTTAGAGGCTTCCTGTGCAAAAGAGCCCACGTCTCAAAGCAAGCTGGCTGTAGGGTCAAGCAGCTGACCATCGAACCGCATGCAACTAGAAGAAACCCGATGAAGCGTGGGCACCCCTTGGGCTTCGAAGCTAAGCACAGAACACGAGTTCAGTTGGTCTGCAAACGGATGTCTGAAAGAAAACATCCCATAGCACAAGTCCAGACTCCAGCGCAACACCTCAGTGCAGCCCTTTCGCAGTGCCTTTTCAATTCGCAAGTGTTTTGAAGAAGTCAATGTGCAGCGCTAACACATTTGCAAACTTGCCCAGCTCACTTGCTGAGTGGATGGCCCAACAAACGTCCAAACTTTAGGTTTACCACTAAAATGGTCTTCCCAAAAAGCCTAAAGTTCATGAAATCAGGAAGTGAGTTCGCGTGTTTGTCAACAAACACAACGCGCCCTGGTACGCCACGCTGCCTCTGCATGCGCTGCTGCCTGCAGCACCTTTTGAGCTGCTGCCTGGCACAAGGACGAAGCTAATGACACGGGTAAGCAGCGGAGCCTCCACGTTTACAGTGCTCAGTGGTAGTAGTAGTAGTAGTAGTAGTAGTAGTAGTAGTAGTAGTAGTAGTAGTAGTAGTAGTAGTGGTAGTGGTAGTGGTAGTGGTGGTGGTGGTGGTGGTAGTTGCATTTCTGCTGATTCGGGCTGTTCAAGCTCACTTTTTTCAGGGGTGGGTGCGAGATGGGGGTGGGGTTGGGGGTGGTGGTAGTTTGGTTCTTGCTTGAGCTGGACTGATGTTGACCGCAACCACCTCGTTCCTGTTGTTCTTTTCGGCTGTTCGCTTTGGCTGGGGGTTAAGTCACCTCCGCTCTATCTGAGTCCCAGGGATCTTTGCCCTCCCGGCTTTGGGGCTGGGCTGGCACACCTGTCATGTGTCTTCTGAGTTTTGCAGCTTTCTTGGCCAGCCACCGGAACGAGCGTGAAAAGCTGATTTGTCTTGCACGTGCGCAGATCGAGCGAGCAAGACGTGAGAGGCCAACATGCAACACGCCTGCCCTAATTAAGCACATGTCAAAGAAAGGTAAGTTTCACCATGACATGCCAACCCAACATGCAACATGTCAAAGGCATACAAACACGGCTCGAACCAAAGGCAAGTCTGACCTGGCAACGCCTTTCATTTGCTCCACCATGCTAAATGACATATACTGATGCAACTCGACCCGTAAAGGCGCGAGCGCGAAAACAGGACCGATTCCTGTTGTTTCCTGCGGAGCTTCGAAGCAGCCTTTCAAACGCTGTTTTTTCACATCACGCTTTCAGGCAAGCCATGAACCGTCAAAGCTATGAGTGTGTTTTTGTTTTTCTCCCCGTGAAGGGCACGAAGAGCTGGAACGTGAACTTCAATGCGGGCTTATCTACTTCTTGATGTTTGGTAGGTGCTTTCGCTCAAAGCCATTATGCAGTCAAAGCGATTGTGCAAAAGGTTGCTATCTAGCAACAGCGCTAGTGGACTTGCACTCACTGCTTGCAGCTTGCACTCACACTTCGGGGTACGCGCCTGATGCCTCCCTTGGCGTTTTTCTGGAAATGTGCCCAAGAGTGCTCTGAATTGAATCAATTGGCAAGGCCATGGGGGCACTTGACTCTCAAGCTGTATTCTGCGGGGGTTGAGGAGGCGCGCGCCTAGCAGTAGGACACGTATCACCATATGCAAATCTGAACAAGGCATTGCAACGACAACAATTCTGCTGCAATGTCAGCACCCGCCCGCCTCTCTCAAAGCTAATCAAGCGAAACGGTTCCAGCCAAACCAAGCCAAACCAAATCAGATGTGAACAAATTTCTTCGCTGTGTAGACTCTTGCATCTTTTGGGCACTTTCAGCAACTGCGAACAATACTGTAGACAAGTGGCGCGCTAGTGACCAGCGCAAAACAACATACGCCAACCAAAACCGCCACCATAAACGCATAAAGATCCACCATCCACCACCATAAAAGTCCATTAAAAAAAAAAAAAAAGCACACACACACACCACTCAACATCACCGAAAAACAAAAACCGCCGACCTCCGACCCCAAAAGCGACCACTGACCGCACGCACCAACCGAAGCGCTGCACCGCGCCTCCAGGCCGCGGCGGCGCCTCAGCTCCTGGAGCTCGCTGCGCCGGAGCTGCTGCACCTCTCAGCGAACGCCGCGGTTTTTTCCTTCGCTGGACTTCCCTTTGGTTTTTCGGCCCCTGGTAAAATAGTTTTTTTTGTTTGAACAATTTTACAGTAGTGATAGATTCCCGTTAAAACCAAGAGGGGAAAATAAAAAATAGTCCGCAAATGGAAGTAGAGGGAAACCCAACTGGCCCCACTGGTCTGCGACGCGCGGGGTGCGTGGTGGATGTAGGGGTTGGAGGTTGGATGGAGGTTTTATTGACCCGCTGGACCCACTCGCATTTTGTGAAAGATGTATACAATGGTACCCTGACCTATCCCCATGGGGGGAGGACCCACTGGAGAGGCAACAAAAGACAAACAAAAGTAGGTAGGTTTGTGGGGGGGTAGCCGATAATATATATATATATATAATATGTATATACATGTTTTCTTTGGCGTCTGCGGCGATGTCGACCTACAACCTGAGCAGCTTGTTTCTGTTTTTTGAACACCCACTGGTCTGAGATGTTGCGACGCCCAAAAACAACACGAGGCAAGTCGATGTGCAAAACCGTGTTGCCACAGCATGATACGCCACTGCGTCGCGGAGCACGTTCGTTGCGGTATGTCCTGCGCTCTGTTCGGGCAGGCGTTCTAAGCTGGAAACCTTTTGAACGCGCCTGGGTTCACGGCGCAAGTCCCCTTGTGTGGGTACAGGGGATGACCAAAGGGACTGTGGCATCTACTTTCACTCAAGTGCAGTGCCATGGGATGCCAATAGCGGAGCGACACGAAAGCGAACCATGCCCATGATTTGGGCCTCAGCCTCACAGGATGATTAAAGAAGGCGTAGCCTCGCAGGCTAACCTACAAAACCCAATGTGCGCAAAACATGCGATGTTCCGGGCGGAAGAAGCTGCGTGGAATCAGACTGAGCCAAACAATGTCAATCTACCACTAGATGATACTCGTACATTTCGAGCGCACCTCTGTATTGGATCCGATTTGATCAGCAACTCCCTCTGATCCAATCGCCCTGCAGAGCTATGCCTTTCACCACACTCTGCCACATTCTAGAAACCTGCGACTCAATACAGGCTCTTGGCAAAACTGCCTATTAAACAATGGTGGAGAGCCTAATTGCACTAAGAATACCAAAAAGTGCAGTCACTTCAAAAGGGCTCAGCATTGAGCTTGCCTCTCTCCCGGGCCTCTTTCTTGGTGCTTGCCACCTTGGTCTGCATCTCCTCAGCGCAAGCCGCGTGAGCTACTGGCTGAGACGAGCAACTCCCGAATGACTTGCTGGTTTTTCAGCAGTGAATGAGGGAATGACCCTCCATAAACCATCCCTTGCGGTTTTCTTCATGGGAATCCCCAGGCTCATTCCCTACTGAGCACAAGCAAGATGAACACACCAGAAGCAACTCCCTTGGCTGAACGCTGATTGCCCAGTTGCAGCCTGCCAGCTTGCAACATCATGTCTTGTTCTCTCACACGCAATCACACACGCAAACACACACACACACTCACACACACACACAAGAAAACACAAGAAAACACAAGACGCACGATGTAGATCGAACCATCTCCCACTAATCCTATCACTATCAACTCTTTCTCCCTCCTAGTCTTTGACCGTGGATGGAGACGTGACATGGCAACTGCCTTCGCAACTTCTCGCTGTGCTACCATCGCGACTGATGCATGACTGTGAATCTATGCTTAAGTAAAACTTACGTTCCCTCCTAACACTGCGGGTCCCTTTTAGTTAGAGGAAACCGTCTTCCATCCCCCAGCCAGGTTTCATGTCGGGAGGGCGCAAACATCTTGCTTTGTCAAAGGTGCCTGCGTTTGCAGCCGCAGGTTCGCAATCTCCGCCGCCGCTTCCCTTCCACGGCGAACCTCAGAAAAAATGCGTTCTGGTCCCCCAAAACAGACCCTGGCATGAGCCCCTTGAACAAAACTCAGGCTTTTGGAACTATTGCGGTCGCCTAGACGAGGGATGGATCGTTCATTTTTACTTGAAACAAGACAAATGTGACCACACCTTCCAGTCTCAATTGAAGCCATCAGCAACACTTTGTCGGTTTCGTGGAGCTGCACTTTGAAGCGAATGCTAGCAAATTGGCTCTTTTCTTGACACCGTTGGCTCATCTTTCTGCTTTACCCAGCAAGTCACCAAATGGTAGCTTTCGCCACGTACTCCAGGGCAAGCCCTCGCTCTGCCTGCAACTTAGAATCCCCCGTTCCCTTGCAAAGCAGGCATGGCGATGCTCCTCATTCATGACTCCCTTCCTTGCACTTTGCCGTCAGTCTTTGTGGCTGCGGCTCCCAGTTTTCGTGTTTGACAGCGTGTCCTTGGCCTGATGCAGTGAAGCAGCCAATATTACTAGGGCCCAACATTTTGAAGTGCAAAGGTGCACAATTATTTGACGAGCAACCAAGCCATGGGTACTTCTCAAAATTGGTGACCCCTCCAGGGTCCAGGTGGGTGGTTTCCCTCACCCAAAAAGGTTCCCGTATTTGAGAAGACCCCACATATAGATATGAAACGTCCAGGGTGGAAATGGAGTGTCCACCTCCGCGTTTCAGCATGACGAGCCGTTCCGCGCCGCTATGCCGCCAAAGCACAGATTCCGCCTCGATCTCGTGCTGGCGCCGCACAGCCTGCGGCACGGCCATGAGATCATGCACGCCAGAATCCCACCACCTTGCAGCGTGTGAGTTTTCATGGGAAGCGGCCATGGGTCAAAATCCCTGACCCCAGTGAACATCCCAATCCCCACAAAAAAAGCTCTAAAATGGGTGGTGCACCTACCCCAAGATGGTACCGTTAGTTTTGACCCACAGCCAAGTGTGACTGGATGTGCATGGGCAGCCTTAAAGTGCAACAAAGCTCTGCTAAGCCTGCAAAGAAAACCAAGGAACACGTCGTCTGGTTGCATGGGACAGTGGGCTCACCTTAGGGTTCTCACAGAATCCTACTGATGAAATGCCTCACAACGCGGAGGTGGTGCTAACAAATCAAGCCACGGAAGGTCACAAAGCTTGCTCCGTCTTAATTTTCCGACTGATGGGCAGGAATCACGCACTGCCTCGACATGCCAATTCGCAGTGGCCAAGACTCTTGTTCAACCCCATCCATCCATTTCTACGGCAAACATGACTATGCGGCTACAGTGCTTCGCCAGGCCATGCCTTCACACTAAGGTCATTTCCAACTACAGGTCAAAACGCATAACGGTTTGTTGTGTGGGACAATTTTAACTTTTAGAGTGTTCTCTGAAGAAAGTCAGCTGCTCAGCAGGGAATGACCGTGTGGGATTCAAGGAAAACATAGGATGGTTTGTAGGGGTCATTCCATTTCTCATTCCCTGCTGAAAAAACCCGCAAGTCTCGGTTGCTTTCTGCTCCCCTGCTAAAAGTGAATAACTTTTAGTGGTTTCATTCGGAAACCCAATTCATTAGTTGGCAAAAAGTTAAAGTCCTGACATCCCTTGGCAAAATGCGCCAAAGGGAACATGATGATCTTGTTCAATGTTTCAACATGTTTCACACAGTTGGCAAAACCTCCATTTTGAACCAGCAAGTCTCTGGGCATTCTTTGCACTCGCGGGGGGGGGGGTGTTGCGCCTCATCCCGCTGACGCAGGGCCTCCTGGATCTGCTTCCTCAGCGCCTAGCCAAAGTCTGACGAAAAGCCGGGAAGTGGCCGGCTTCCCTGTGCGTGTTTGCCCCCTGGAAATCAACAAAAAACGGATTCCCTCGGTGATAGGTTCATTTTTTGAAAGCAACAAGGGAACATGACACATATTCTTAGGCAAATGGAAGCTATTGGGGGCGAACTGACTACACACGCAAAGGAGCAGCACGCTCGCGTGCAACGCATGGGCGCGCACACACAGACACACACGACAAACACTCACGCACCCTCACGCACCCTCACGCACACTCACGCACACTCACGCACTCACGCATTCACGCACGCACGCACTCCCTCACTCACTCGCTCACCCACCCACTCTCTCACCCGCTGGGTCGGCTTGTTCCGCAGTGGGTCACATCTGGACTTGGAACCGCTTTGGACTTGCTCTCCCACGGAAAACGAACACACTTCCATGAAAGTGCCCCTTAACTGCGCTGGCACTCGACTGCTCGCATCGCTGTGAACCGCGCATGGAATGGGTGATCGATGCGCGTGAAATTGATGCGCCTTACGCCCTCAGGGATTTATAGACCAAGGTGGAAGCTGCAGAGAGGTCTAAGCATATTTTGGTCCAGCATTTCTGGGTGAAACCATCTCACCGGCTCAGGAGTTGTAGCCCGCGTTCTGCGCGTACCTGACACAAATGCCAGAAATCTCCACCATGTCAATCAAGATGGGAAGACTCGGCTTCCAAACTCAGTGCGCACCCTCATTAGCATGACCGATTGTCACAAACAAACAGCAAATGCAAAATAAAGCAAAGATGGCTTGTATGTTTTTCCCTCCCAAGCAGAACTCCGACCTCCATGAACGAGGCTGCATATCTACTCCTGACAAAATGTATGCTCTTTGGCGAATCAGGCCCCTCTCCGTCCTTCTAAAAAAAAACACCAAGTCAACTCTGAAGGTTCACTTGAGATCTCACAAAACCCTGCGGTGCCCTTGGGCAAAAACCACATGCTGCCAAATTGGACAACTCCGAGAGAGGCGCATGGGTTGCACCCTCAAGGCGGTGATGGGCACCTAGCGTCGGGATGGGATCCGATGCGACTTCCCAGCCTCGACTTCGGAACCAGCTCTGCGAACGACAGAAACGCCCCAAACAAATACGAAGACAATTCTCCTATATTAGGGTACCCCCCCTCGTACATTTGCTAAAGGGGTGGGCCTACTGACGCTTGCAACATGGTGCTGTGATATGCTTTCGGCTGAAGTCCTGGCGCTGCATGTGCGAACGAGCCCAAATGACATAGGCCCAGTTTTGGCTGGTCCTTGGAAACTCCAACAAGACGCTGGCCACGGGAAAACTCTTAAGAACTTGGTCAAGACAAAACACGCCTAGGTCTCGGAGACTTGTGGAATATTGCTCGGGACACATTCTGACTTACTTCGGCCCCAGCAAACCCAACTTCCTCTTGGTCTTGTGTCCACGGACATGCTTAAGCAGGATGAAAGTGTTCATAAGGATTCAGCAAGACAGCAACACAAGCAGGCAAGCGACACAAAAGACCGCAAGAAAGATAAACAAGCCAACATTCAAGATGCCAAAGCCTCGCATCGTGGTTGCCATGTTTTGACACTCTCCAGCTAGCTCCGATTGTGATGATTCTTCCGTCATTGCAAGGGGATATCAGCAAAGAATCCCAAAGTGGGATTGCACATTGCTTTCTGACTTTCTGCTCTGGCATTCCTGCACGCATCAGCCCCGCATCAGCTGGCACTCTGGGCGTCCGAGCCCATGGACTTGCAGATGTTGGGTCCTATCGGCATGCCAATCGTAGGGAATGGTGGGTTCTCATGAAGTCCATTGGGCGTTTGCCGTTTTCTGTTTGAAGACAAAGGGTGTTCCCACATTCCTTGACATTCTGGGCCTATTTACAACCATTGGCGTTTTGCAGCGCAAATTTACGCTGTGACCAGCCAACGAGCTTTGAGTTGACTTATGTACATTCCCATCAGCACTGAATTTCAGATGGGGGAGGATCACTTGCACCCCCCATCTTTTGGAAAACTCGCCTCGATTCCCGCCCGCCAAACACTAAAAAACAATGCAAGGGCGCTTAAACCTGGTCTGATGAAGTCAAATGGATGACATCGATGGGAGGCAAACGCGATCAAAAAGTGAACCTGCTCCTCTTGGTTTCCAGATTGAGTCTAGGTGGGTCTTGACTTTAATGTCACAGCTTGTGGGCGCAGCTTAGGTTCAAGTGGCGCCGGATACAGCAGGAATTTCCTAACGCATTGAAAGCATTTTTTTCGCCTGCTGTAGCCTTCAGGCAGATCGCATAAACCCATCATGGCATCGGTTCCGCCTGGTTGGCGTAGCCTGTGTTGGAGTCAGGATGGGTTGATTGTTTGCTTCGCAAGCGGCTTGTTCTTGGTTTAGAAGTCAGGGCTAGGCTTGGCTGATACTCCCAAGGGGCACGGAGGTGTGAGATCGGTGTAGATTAAGGTATATACTGGCAAAGCAGCTTTGAGCCTGGGGTTCGGCATAGCTTTGCAAACCATAGGCTGTTGGTAGATCTGCCGTGCTACGTATGTTCGCCTTGTTTTTACTTGTGGTGCTGAGTTGGCAGGCTTCGAATCTTGTGGCTGGAGGCTCTGGTTGCAATCGCTGGTGGGGGATGTGTGGTGTGTGAATTCGTCTTGGGACATATTCAGGTTGCAGCTTCTCAGCTTCGGAGGGCTCGAGGTATTCGAGGTTCGGCAGCGGGTATGGTTTGCAGGTTGGGATAGTACACCGAGTTCGCATGGAGGGGTTGGCTTAGTAAGCTGTCTTGCGGGTGGACGGGCTTGGACTCGGAATTCGATGGGTGCCAGCTTGAGGGCCGGGTCTCCTAATTCCAACAAACCAGCGGAGGGTAATGGACCTACTGCAAAATCAGGTGACCCAAGCCGCACATCTTGGAAAAGTCTTTGGGTTTCATGATCTTGGACCGGCCATCTATCACTCTATCACACAATTCTACCCACTTCTAAAAACGGCCGGGGTTGGGGAGAAAAATCCTTGCAGAATTGAAGGCCCGTTGAACCCCCCCCAATGGCATCCGCGAAATGGGACTTGAGGCTTGGACTGCAACTGCCGGGAAACCAACATGCCTTACTGAATGCACCCTGCCCAACCCAGCACACGCTATTCAACGGAGTTGGCCCTTATAAAATGACGCTTTTAGGCCTAGCACTCTGCCAAAACCTGTCAACAGGCCCAAAACAAGCTATGCAAAGTGTTCTTACAGCATGACGATCCCAGCGTACTCTTGAGACCCCATGTTTCTATAAAAAGAACGTTTATAAAGACCGAGTCACTCACTCCTGACATAGGGAACATGTAAAAGGGGATGGAGACGTGTGCAGTTGACTTCCAAACTTGTTTATGACTGGCAAACCACTTGCCAAGAGCAATGCTGCCTGGCAAAGTTCAAGTCGCACAGCATTTAAGCAGGGGACCTCCAAGATGTCCTCGGTTGTCCTCCTCATTTCCCTTTACAACACTCCAACAAGGGGACCCGCAAACAACAGGCCCCTTGCGCGCCTCGGAGTCGGTTGTGAGCCGCGCAGCCACAGGGTCATCCGGTAGCGCCCGGTTCAACTGGACGGTCGGCGATCCCCGGCGTCCCCGCGCATCTTTCAACAGGCCATCTGTGCAGATTCCAGAGAATGACCACCTCAACACCATTGGTATGGTTGCAAAAACCTTTGCAGCCCCCTACTAAAATGAACACCGCCAAAGAACCAAAAACACAAAAAACATCACATGCCAAGAACAGTGAAGACTATGTGAACATAGGATAGTACAAATCAAACTCTTCACTTCCCTTCTGAAAGCACGGATTTTCCCAGGACGATCCCAGGACAGTCCCTGACTGCTGAATCTGGTGGCAACTGCATCGCGACATGCATGCGTGACGAAGGCCTGCGTTGCACGCTCTTGGGATTCTAGAAATATGAAGTGGCCTTTCCTGACACGGCAGGCATTTGCTTCCGTGAGCCATTTCTAGGGCCGTTCTGTGCCTCCGAGTCGATCACCCAGGACCGGCGATCTGCAGAGCGAAAAATGTACCACGCCTTGCAGCGACAACCCAATCGAACATGTTTCAATGACGCGCGTGTGTGGCATTCTGACAGGGAGAGAACTCTCGACTCATGGGAGGAGCTGAGTGCACTCCAGCACTCAATCATTATCTGTCGTCTTTTGGCTCGCACAAAGGGTGTGCTGTTTCACTTCGGGAGTAGTCTTACATGATTGGCTGGTTTGTGGACTACCGGAGCAAAGCCGTTTCAACCAGGGTAGTCCTTCCCAAACGCAATAGGCATCCTTGAGCTCTTTGCGGCATCAGCACAAGAGCAGCCCATGGAGCAGCCAAATGGAGAAGCCAAACGGAGAAGGTGGGGTCGACCCCCATATTAATCAACCCCAGTGTATCAACAGGGGGTGTCCCTGGGTTTAGTGTGGAATCAAAACTTTTGGAGGGGAACACTTCACTATTGCAAACTGGGGTTGATTCATATGGGGTCGACATGAGAAGGCAATGGCCATGCATTTTCTTGATTTGGGCATGACAACAAGATGAGAAGCGAGAACAATAACTCACTAACTGAACTGCCGGTCCAGTGGGCCCGATTGCATACGTGGAACCCCTCCCTTGGCCTGCCTTGTCGCCCCGCCGGACCTGAGCCAGCCATGGCCAGAAACTTGTATGCAATTCATGTCGAGCTCCCAATTTGTCTGGGCAGGGGTTATCTTCATCTCTCACTTCCCATCGAGTGGATCAGCCAAAAAAGCCCAAACATGCTGTTTGCCACCAATATGCTCCAGCCCCAACAAGTAAAGTGAAGGAACTCAAGGAGGGAGATTCGCGGTTGCAATGAGGGTCCCTAGAAACCTACCGCACACTAGGCAGTTATGCACGCAGCGCAAACCTGCGCACCCGCACGCCTGAATTGGCCAGCCACGCAAACGCAAGCAAGCCTGC